GCTTCAAATTGCTCTGCCGATATTTACTAGATGGGGTATTAAATTGGCCACATTATAGCTTATCTCAAGTCCTTGACCGGGCTCGTGTAGTCCTTGCGAATACGGAGCACTTAATCAAGTGTCAGCAACGACATACTATCGTTTCTACACGTCTCTCAAGACAGCATTTCTCTAATCCATTTCCTGCTTCTTCTGCCATGAGGGACGCTGGTCCAATTCACCGGAGTTCCTTCCTCTTGGCCCTTACTCCGCCTTACCCGCTCATCCACTCACGTCCACAGAGTTCAACGTTAGTAGGACAGTTTTATTATGCTCGAACCTGCCATTGTTATGTGCTAATCGCCCTTCTGATTCGGCAACCTGTTTGTGTTTTCGACTTAAGACATTTTTACACCAGCTATCGGTATTCCTTTCGATCTCTAGTTTACGTTGGTAGATTTCGGTTTGGTTCATCTATTCCGCATCAGCGGAAAACATATTGCAGCGAAGCCTAACCCAAAGTTCAAACACAATGGAAATTTGGAATTTTGCTCTCACGATGCACACCGTGGTACGTATTCGCTACCCCCACCTATATTATGACTTCCCAGTATTTCTCCCTTGAACTCTTTTTTCTTCCTTCGCTTCATTCAGGCTTTCCTCCTTCCCCACGGGGCGATTTGGAAATTCTTTTGTTCAATCTGATTAACTGGCTTGCTCGTTGCCAGCCAGGAACTGCACGGTCCTTTACTACTGGGCTACCCTGGGTCTACCTTATATCAGGTAATTTCGATCTTTGTCGCTTGGTTAATGCAGCCCTTTACGTCTTCGCTCACCCTCTGTCACACCACTCCACCACAGTGGACTGCTTTGATGTTGTGTCTATTACTCTGTGCTCTAGTTAAGTTTACTTTTCGTTTCACATCTCCTCAGCCAGAATTTCTGTCAAGTTCGAGTATTTTCTTTATATGCAAGTCTGGTTGAAGTGTTCTCATTTCACCATCCCCCAATAACCGTCAAATGCCTAGATACAAAATTGGTTGTATGAGCAGCTACCGAAATTGTATCAGTAGTGAGATAAACAGCATATGTTTACGTATCTACCCTTGAAGATTCAGCTACGTGAACAGCTAGGTTAACTGCCCGAAATGGTACTTTGGACACGCTTATACCAATGAGAAAAGTGCATGCGTATTTCGCTTGAATGACTTGCATATCCCTGAAGACACTCGGTAATTCTGTTGGTTATAATTAGTCTAACATATTTTCTCATAGAAATGACGGGTTTTTCTGCAAGACAATCCGCATTCCAAAGTGATTCATTCTGCTTGTTGTCCCTCATAGACAGGCCAATATTGCGCTTTGCCTAGCTCTTGCGGATCAACTGGACACTTCTCACGGGCACTATACTCGCATTGTTTTCAGCTGAACGTCCGTTTATCAGTACCATACCATTTAGCTGCGTCCCTTTCTTCCATCTTCGTCTGTTGCTAAATTTTGCTTTTCTACTTACCTGTATTTGTATTGATTAAAATGTTGCAGTCCTCTGGTTATCCTATCGCGCATCTAGCCAATGTCCGAGGAAACTTGTCTTCACACTTCGTCCTAGTGCGGCCTTGAATCATGGATGAATTTTCGAAAGACAGAAGTGCAGTTCCTCTGTACATCATCCACCATCCTTTTCATGTGTCCATGTGATGCTTTCGAAATACATACTTGTTAAGTTTATCTCATCATTGATATATAGTAGTCGGTCCGGTTAACAGCGCTTAAGCGATTAGGCTGTTCGCCGATTGCTATATGCTACCTTGGTTCAGTATGAAAAGCGTCGTCTTTTCAGTAATCCTGTTTCTTTCTTGATGAAACCCATTACTTCATTTCCTTTTACCACACAAGGATCCAATTCATATTTGATTATTTCATTATTGCTCTTACTTTGTCCATTGTTGAGCATTACTATACATTGTTCTCCGATTAGATCCACCATTCTCAATTTTTTTTATTAAAACACTAGACCACAACTTGCTATTTTTTGCTGATCCTTACGGTGCTCTTTGTGAAATCACTTTCTTATCAGCATTTGAGTGAATTGCAAACAGCACGGATCTTTACAAACCTGAGATAGTATGTTTGTTGCTAAGTTTCGCTTTCGTTGCACCTTGGCGCATTCCGAAACCATGGCAAATGGTTCATTATGACATGCAGACGAACATTTGGAAAAGTCAGACATGTTTTTCCTCTGCTTTATACTTCACCCTTATTGTTGCATCCTGCTGGTTTTAACAACGAATTAATAAAACCTTTGTCCTACGCCTTTTGACCAATAGTTTTTCACCTACTGTTGAAAAAGACAAAACGCTCTTCACCTCTCGCTTTACCCCACGCGCAAGGTTGCCAGTCGAATTCGAATCACTGCCATCTAAAAGTCCTGGCTGCTAGACGTATATACACATTAGCCGAGACTTGAGACGAAACGCCTGGCCTGGCACGTACGCACTGAGACTCAGATAGAAAGACTGATCGATTGCAAGAGCTCTTTTACTGACTCAGCCAAAAACCAACATGCCTTCCACAGCTTCATATATATTTCTGGGTAATACACAAACTATGGAGGAAGGTGCATGTTGGCGAGGCACCGGTTACCACGTACCGACAATGTCCTGTTATAAAAGCATTTGATATCAGTGTGAGTTGAGGCAGTAAGTACAGCTGTGTCCTGAGGGGAGCTCAGTTGGTTCAACGCGACTCGAGACGGTGGATATAGCAGCGTCACTGGGGCGGGCTTATTTGGACTCTACGCTGTTTTTGTTGACACATAAGGCGGTTCCAATAACGAGGGGTCAGCTATTTTATTCGCAGTGTGAGTAGCCGTATGGTGATGGCATTGCTGTACTGAGCTCAAGTGATCTCTACACATGTTTCGGTACTCTTTTGCTTGGCAGTGTTAGCAGTAACGAACTTGATGATTTGCCAAATTGCACGAACTACATTCAACCTTCCACATTCAACAACACTTCCATACTAGTATTCCTTCGCGGCTTTAAAGCAGAATTTCGGCCAGCATTTGAAGTGCGATGTTGGTAAAGCTTCCCACACAGGCAGCGCTTAAACTCGGGAGGCATCTGTCGACCAGTGGACTCCTTTTTGAGGACGTATAATCGCGCCTGCATAAAATGCGGCTTCTCGCTCATATACTACCACCTCTCTGGTCGGCCACTTTGCCGACCCACCTGTCAATTATCACGGTGCATGTTTGAATCACTGTACAGAAGCACACTGCATTCCCATTGTACCTAAAGTGACTACGTACGTGTTTATTCCTGACATTCGCCTTGGTTGAATACCCAACGCATCGTACCACTTGGTGTTTCTTGAATCACACTGAGTCCATTTCACCAACAGTAGCAGCTCATGAGCTGTTATGTCAGCAGCAGTTCTGTAGCTTTAATACATTGGTTGTGATGGCTTTGCATTGCGTCGAGTTATTCCACCACTCACAAAACGGCACTTGTCTGTCTCTACATTTGGAGAATGGCGAATGGCTCTAAAAGTCTCCAATTTTCTAATGCAAACCTGTTCGTCAGGTGATTCGTTCAACATCAACATGAATGGACATGGCCAGTTGAATCAGCTGACTTTGTCATGTTCAACAAGACAGGCTTTGTACGTCTGTATGTATCGAAGTGCTACAAAGTTGTCTTTGCTTCATTTATCTAGCTCAATGTGTTTCTAATTACTGACGCATTCTGTTATGTGCATGGAAAGCATATGAAATCGTGGAATATATTTGGAACCGATCAGGAACTCATGCGTTCGGAGAGGTATGGGAACAATCGGTTGGCGCATTTGTTGGGCAACGTTTCACTTTTGACACGAAAGCTTCGTCAGGTCATGTAAATCAGTGTGCAGTCGGAGCGGCATTTTTAGTGAACATGGGCGATAACCGAGATACTCAGGACTTGAGCCTAGGTGACATTACAGTGACAGTTCAAGTGTTTCGGCCAAAGTGGGAATAGTCCAGGTGTTCCATTGTGCATCATGCATTGATAGGTAGGCCCACAGTACTGACGATGAGAAGTTGTGTTGCCCTTTCCAGTCCGATCCGCGCATCGACACGGATTCACGTTTCCTGACTAAGATTTTCTGTCAAAAGCGAAACATTGCCTAATTAACACGCGGACTGATTATTGCCCTACATTTCTGGACTCGTGTTTCGAAGGCACTTGTAATGGTGTCGCTGTGCTTAGTTCGGCGGCACACAAATTATTTCACCAGGCATGTCCCACCTGCCTTACAGAGTACACTGTCGTTGTCGTCAGCTCAGATACTGAAAAGGTGTTACTGAGCATTTTGCCGTGCTGTCAAGCTTTGCATGTGGTGGCTGTTAGCCTTTGTCTGAAAACAAGCAATATACTTGCTTACCCAACTGCCTACATTATCCATTCTGTGTGCTAGATTTCGTTATTGTTCTCTTCTCCCACCATCTGACTCAGATGACCATCTGATCCGATCTATTTGACACTTCTGTATCTCCACACAGCGTCTAATCGCCTTGGTTTCCAGTTCTGAATGACAAAGAGCGATTCCACGGATGGGTATTTAGTTGTTGGTATGTATTAAGCTGGGACCGCAGCACTTTCTGTTCAATTCCCGCAACTCTTCATCCGACATTCACATTACTGCACCATGCCTTGTTGGTGTTTCGAATTCACACCCTATGTCTTTCTCCTAATTTGCTTGTGCTCAAACAAGTCGTGTTTGACGACTCAGTCTGTCAGTTTTTGGCAACTTCGTCTTTGGTTTCCATGTCCATTTGTTTGACTACTTTGAGCATTCTGCCAAGGCACCTCCCTGGACATTGATCCCGTATCGACGCGATAGATATAAAGGAAGACGATCTGACCTAATTTCTACCCGACAAAAAATATTCTTTCTCTTCCACATTTCTTCCATTTTTTCTGATATCTTTTTATGACTTGTGGAATGAACAATACAAGCATGGAAACATTCCTTTTGTCTTTATGCGCCTAATTATAGATCCTCAGTTACGTGAAAATACCTCGGATGCTGTGAAAAAGCAGGTTGCTTTCATCAAGGAACAGCCTGTGAGGGATATTGACTGCTTCTTCACTCAAGCTGGGAATCCACATGATACCGGTTTGTTGAATCATTTTTCCCGTGACATACTTCTGAAACGCTGTGGTCGAGCTATGAACTCTACGCCACCGCATTTGGTGAATTTTTGTCCATATTTTACTATTTTCCACTACCGCCGTTGTCGCTTTTACGACTAACCTTACTTGATACAGCAGTGGTTCACGATATTGTGTAGTGCCTTCCATATTCTCTACCTGGCTCTCCAAAAAAGCGGGGAAAATGGATATGTCAACATTCGGTTGACTGCTTATGTTCTTCGCCTAAATATCGGCTATATTCCTAGGTCAAACATACATCCATCTGCGGGCATCTCGCTTCCCCAACCGCTTGTGACTTGATCGCGTTCCACCTAACTGATTGGCTGTGGTGCATCCAATTACGTCATCTGCCGTCACGTCCAGCCGCAGGCCATCTCGTGCTGCCGATGTGCACCGGATGTGCGTCCGTTGCTCTCAAACACAATCACAAGTCACCCGCCGTACACTCTCGCTCTGTCAAACCATGCGTTAGTCAGTTTGTTCTCCGAATCCACGGTACATATCCATGCTACTCACGTATAGCTTTTTCTCATGTGCTGAGCGGCTAACTCCGTCACAGTACCCGATTTTTGACGCTACGACTGTCTCCGGCCTTTGGGCCGAGTACTGACGGTGCCTGATCCGTTGCGTTGAACGATGATAACAATAACAATAATAATGATAATAATAATGTATTGTGGGTGAAATGGAAGTACACATGTGGATTAATTGCGAAGCGAAGTCTCAACGTTGACCGCGATTACCATTGAAGTGAACCTTGGCCATTCGATCACTAGGACCGTAGCCAATGAAGCGGAAGGAACTAGGTTTCCCCCCCGAAAACTCTGTATATTTCTCGTGGTACCGAGAAACCGTATCCACCAAGAGACGAATCTCACATACATACGCAATATGCTCACGTATGCGGGGCTGTCAATGGTTTGGTTTTATGCCAGGTACAATGGGAAAGATTTTGTTAAAAGCTTCAATTAGAGCTTCCATTGTCGTTTGCTACCAATTCACGGGCATTCTCACTTGTTTGGTTCTGGTGCAGATGCATGGTGACAGCCGGTACTTAAAAGAGGATGCAACAATTGGTTACTGATTACTGGTTGAAAGCAGCAAGTAGTGGTTTCTCTGTGTAGCTGCATCTGATGTCACTCAAGGACGAAGCCCGATTATGTTGTGGTGCGCTCGATATATTTTATGTCGGCAGAGTGTTTGTCCAGGAATTCCTTAAATTCCGACTCCGACTTTGCCTCAACTACGTGCTGCAGCAGGTCGTTCCATACATTCACCACTCTGCGTTCTAAACAGAGTTTGGTGAGCAAGCCGCTTCAAATACGTTACAACAAGCTTGTACCGGTGTCCTCGTGTGCTGCTGGGTGTGCGTAGATAAAGCAGTTGCCTCAACATGGGGTAATCTCCCAGATGTAATATCCGGTACGTCATGATGAGGTCAACCCTCAGTCGACGATAAGCTAGGGTGTACAGTCTTAGTTTCTTACACCGGTCTTCGTACGGTACACCTCGTAAGTTGGGAATCAGCCTGGTGGCTACATGCTGCAATCGCTCAGGCTTCTCTACCTCCGCTGGGTGATAGAACAATACGCGGGTCGTATTAATGAAACGAAGAGGTGAGTGACAATCACTTCTGACCAAAACATGAAGCTGCGTTTGGGCGCCCAAAGCATACGATGGCTGTTTTGGTAAAGCCTATTCGTGTTGTCCATGTAGTTTAGGTCGCAGCGTGAGAGTACAACGAGGTCTTGCAATGGTTGACCGGCCACAGTGTAGCTTCGGCTGAGATGACAAATACCCAGCTCCATGAATTGCGACTTGACTGGGTTGATCGGAAGATTGACCTCTGCGGTCCATTTGGAGAAGCGGTCCAGGTCTTGCTGTAGCAGGCCACAATAATTTGATATGCCGATTACTCTCCACACCTTCAAGTCAGCTGCGAACAACGCACAGGGTGATTGGAATAGCTGAGTTATATCATTTACATGGATGAGAAACAAAATCGGCCCCAGTACAGTGACTTGGGGCACGTCACTACTCGATGGATACCAGTCCGTCAAATGGCTGTACACCTGGACCCTCCATTTTAGATCAACAAGGAAATTCTTGATCCATCGATGCAGAGAACCGCCAACACCGCACACCGTCAGCCTGTCGAGGAGCACTGCATGGTTCACCTTGTCAAAAGCCTCACTGAAGTCAATGTAAATGATTTCGACCGAATGGCCTTCGTTCAGCACTTGTAACCATTCGTGCCTCGTCAACAGTAGGTTGGTGATGCACAAGCAACCTTTCACGAAACCATGCTGTGCGGACGTCAAGTGGCTTTTCGACTCGGGAAGTTGCAGAACATTCTTCTTCACGATCTTCTCGAGCGTCTTTGCCAAAACAGCAGTCAGGCAGATAGGCCGGTAGTTATCTACCTTGCTTGGGGTATCATTTTTCGGTGCTGACTATACGACTGAGCATTTCCAGTCGTCCGGTAATATTCCAGTGGATAGTGACTTGTTGAATAGCTCAGTTACAGAAGGCGAGATGATGGCCGATAGGGACTTGAGGATCAGTGGGTAGATTCCATCTGGCCCGGCAGACTTCGTCCCGTCAAGGGTTGCTAAATGCTTGCGTACATCTTCAATGCTGCAATCCAGGCTGTCCAGTTCAGTGGGAGCGATACTTGTCGAACTCGTTACAGACACCTGGTCACTTGCAAATACGGAGGCGAAGTGCGCCGCCATCAATTACCATCAGACAAGTAATGAACAGTTGTGCATACTAGACCTATAGTACAGGACAAGTTATTTGTGCGTAGCAGAAACCCAACAATTGAAGCATTTATACTCAAAAAAGAAATGGACAAAGCTATGGTTAATACATCATTGTATCTCCATAAGCGTCTTCAAATCTTCGACTACGTTAGTCGAGTAATGTAATGGAGTCTACACCCAGTCAGGATATGACGCGGATTGCTCACCACCATCTTCCACAGAAATTGCAGACACCGTTCGTCGCCTGAAGCCGAAGATAGCTCCTAGAGCGGACGGGATTCCAGCGGAAATATGTAAATCTTATCTACCAGCTCTCCTTGACCATTTGCACGAGCTCTTCTACTTGATATGGGAGAACGAAATCTGTCCTTCCTCGTGGAGTACCTCAGTACTACTGCCACTTCCCAAGCAAGGTGAACGAACTGTTTGTAGTAATTATCGAGGGATTAGCCTAATCGATGTGGCTGCCGAAACCTTTGCATGAATCTTGCTTTCCCGCTTTGCCAATGAGAGGAACGTGCGAACTCGCTATAATCAAGGTGGCTTTCATCCAAGCGGAATCTGTACTGACCAACTCTTCACTCTACGTCGGGTACTCGAACACCGCTACCAGTTCCAGCAGCTCATGTTAGTGTGTTTCGTTGTTTTCATGCTGCCACTGACTCAGTTCACCATGAAGCACTCTGGAGAATCCTACTTGCCGATGGTGTGCCGGTTAAATTCGTCAACGTTGATGACGCTGTTCTACCATTTCAAGAAGGCCCGAATTCGGGTCTATGGAAAAGAAACAGAGGAATTCGACTTCAATACTGGAGTCCGGCAGGTTGCCCACTTTCACCACTGCTGTCCAACTTCATAGTCCACTGGGTTCTGCATCATGCCCTTGAGGGCTATCATAGTGTTTAAAGTAGCCCTGACATCTAGCTGTCAGACCTAGAATTTGCTGACGATATCGCTATCCTTGCAGAAGATCCTATATCACAATAGCCACTGCAAAATCGGGTCGACCAATCAGGCTCTACGATCGGCCTCGGAATTAACATCAACAAGACGAAGTACTTCTCATCGTCGGCCACCCAGTCCGCCCCGTCTATCTCCTTACATATATAATTCATATAGTCTGTTCCTGAATTCAAGTATCTTGGAGCCATTATTCTCCCCAATGGTCACGCTACATCCGAAATCTGGAATGGTATTGACGGTGCTAGAACAGTTTTCTGACAATTGAGGAACACGTTGTGGAGAAGGACGGAAATCAGTCTGAGGACGAAAATCCGAGTATTCTCAGCAACCGTTCGTGCCACTTTACTCTATGGCTGCGACACATGGCTGCTACGATCCGAGGACACCCGGAAGCTTGACGTCTTTGACCGTTGGTGGCTAAGGCTTATCTTGAAAACGCAGTGTCATGAGCGTATCACCAATGAAGAAATCTGCAAGCGTAGTTTTGATTTCAAGAAGCTCTCAGCGCTCATACAACGTCGCCGACTCCAATGTTTCGGTTGTGTCCTCCGCAGACCAGACAATGACTTCACTAGGGCCGTGGTTTCACTCTCGTCTTGCCAGGGTTGGTGTAGTCGCCGTTGTGGACAATTGAAAACTTGCCTAGCTGCAGTGAAATCGGATGTAAAGCTGGGACTCTATGTTGTGTATGGTGCACGTCACTGGAGTTTACCGCCGACCGCCGCGCTTGGACAGCTGCAATTCTAAACATTCATGAAGCCTGCTCATCCGGTCTCAGGAGCTAGCCGCATTAAAGTAAGGTAGGTATTCACACTGGTATGAGCTTGAGCTTGAGCTCCCCGGTGTGGATGCGCCTGATGTGAATGTTGACAAGGTGCCTACCTGTCTATTACCCACTACCTATTCCATACTGGCCGCAGCAGACAGTTGGTCGTTGCTGGTGGGGATGGGGCGCACCGTCCTCGTGTCGGTGCTAAGCTTAAAGAGTGGTTCCATCCTGTGTGGAACGGGCTACGTTCCAGCCACCGCTTCGTGAACGTCTGGTGTATATGATTTCCCAATTAGGCCGGAATGCTTCCGTTCTGCTGATTCAAGGATTGGGGGCCAGCTCCGTTGATGAGACGTGGCTCCCATTCACATGCCTCCAGGTATCGTACCTTCGGGTTTACACCGGATATGGGGCGTGTGGGTGGAACTATGGGTGGTGCAGCGCAAGCCACCCATGGTCCCCTTTTTAGGCACAGGCGTCCTGTGACTGTCCGCATGGACGTCACAGTGACAGGCAAATCCGGATAGGGACGCCGCCAAATCATGAGTGAAGACATACTGAAGGGCCTGGACATTCCTAGATCTAGATCTCAGATTGATCAG